GCGGGGCCCGGGAACGACGAGGACTGGGAGCCCGGCAGCAATGGGACCGGCCGAGGCGTCTACAGCTACAGCGCGTGGACTTCGCGCGCGGGGCCCGTGCACACCGGCCCGCGCCTCTGCCTGCTGCTGGGCGGCGTCCTCGGCGCGCTAGGGCTACTGCAATCTTAGGCCCGGCTGGGCTCAGGGACCCCTGGCCCCTAGCCTGTGCAGAACTCGCAGGCTCCTTGGGCCTTCGCCAGAGGCTGCCAGGCGCTGAGCACCCGTCCCTTCATTGTCCGTGGTCATGGAGCCCAGAAGGGCTACCTAGGCGGTTCCAGCCTCTCTGGGGGCGCCGCAGCCCCTCCTGAGACATAGGCCACTCGCCTAAGCCCCACAGCACCCTACCCCTCTCCCACCTACCGGAGGTGGGCTCCAGGGCTACTCCACCTGCCTCAGGCCCTTGGGGCCCCCCAGCCAGGAAGGTGCCTGTTGTGGGGTCCCCGACATCACCCTTCCAGGAATGCCCACCATGGCTGTCTCTGAGCGGTTTCTAAGACGACACCCGCTGCAGGCGCCCCTGCAGCCCTGCCACCCCACTTCCACCTGAGGAACCAGTCTCTCACAGGGCCTTTCCCAGTCAGAACCTTGGGAGGCCAGTGCCCACTGGCCTGAGGGGAGGCTCTCCTCTCCCTTTGAGCCACTTCACCCCCAACAACTTGAAACAGAAGTCATTTAACTGGACTTCAGACTCTTCTTTGAACTTGAGGGTCACATTCTGGCATGAGTTCTCACCTGGACTTGGGACGGCAGCTGCCAGTCCCAAGAAGGAGCCCTCCATGAGCACAGCCCTGGCAGAGCTGTCTGGGAGCACTGGCCAGTGGCCAGCAGCCTCCCCAGGCCAGGCAGAGGGCAGTGTGGGGGCACAGGTGAGGAGGTTAGGAGCTCCAGTTAGACACACGTACCCCTGTGACCACAGTGGGGCCCAGCAATGGGCAAGTACAGTGCCAGGGTGGGAAGGAGCCTCACTGCTGCTGCCCCAGGGTGCCTGCAGAAGACAGTGCCAGGCAGGAGAAAGCAGAGCCCCCAGGGCCAAAGGACACTCTGAGGACACTCTAAGGAAAACGCCAGACAGGTCATTACAAGGATCCTCTCAGTACATACATCAACACTCTGCTCCTTCAGTGCCGGGCAGCCCCGACTGCCCATTCCCTGCAAAGCTGACACCAGCCTGGTTTACCCACGGAGTGCTGCCTGCGATCTCAGCTGTTTTCCAAATCTCTTCTAGTCCTGCTGTAGAAATGTCTCCAGCTCTGATCACCCAGTTTATGCTGAGGTAGGATGTCTTCCCAGCTTCAAGACCTCACCTCCTTCGGTGCTCCGGTCCTCCAGATCGGCCTGGCCACCCCAGGACCAAGGCCCGTGCCTTTGACTCTCCAGTTGGTGGACACCAACGCCGAGACCAGCATCCCCCAGGGGCTGCTGGGTCCCCCACCTTGGCTCTCCCACAGCTCATGTGGTGGGGCTCGTGGTTGGCGCGGGCTGGACCCAGCATCTCTCCAAAGATGGGTGCGAAGCTGCGAGCCTCTGCCTGCTTGCACACTGCCAACATCCCCGTGACAGATCCTCCCCGTACTGCTCCCGACCAGCTGGGAACAGGTCTGCCCAGGAGTCTGACCATCTCTCCTTGGAGAACTAAGGGACAACCTTGGGGATGGAACAGCACCGGCCCCCGTCGGGGCCCACCGGCCACACCCACACACACTGACCGCAGCGCCCTGGGAGAGCTCTCCTGCACCCTTATGGATGTGAGGTGGAAGAAGTGCTCTTGAATCCAGAGGCTGCTCAGGGTTTGGCACAACCACGGATTTTTCATGCTCCCCAGCCTGGGTCAGGTTCCGGTGGGGAGCAGACAGACGGCACACGGCGTCGGTGATCAGAGCTTCGTGTAGGTCGCACAAAGTGCACACGGGGCATAGAGAAACCATAGGGACAGCCTGGATCTAGAGGGACACACGGAGGAAGCCCCGCCACAACACAGCGCGGGGCCCACAGCACACCTGGTGCTCACAGGACCTCAGCGTGTGCCCTATCCCCTACCCCCACACCGCTTCTAGAAAGCAGGCTGGAGGCAGGCAGGCTCCCCAGGACTATTCAAGGTCAGGGACAAAAGTGCATCGATGACTCTCAGCCCCAACACAGCAAAGCCCAGAGACCCTACCGCTCCTCGGTCAGCCAGCAGGTGCCCAAGACACCTGGGAGCCTGGGGGTCACCTGCCCTCGCTGGGTGACCCCTTTGGTGACTCCTTGGTGGCCATATGTGGCCAGGAAGGGGTGTCCCGCAGGGGGCATGAGGGGCAAGCTGGTCCTTGATTCTGCCATGGTTACTGGAACCACCTGTCTGTGTCTGTGTGCACGTTTAATAGTGTGAAAATAAACCGCTCAGCTACTGACGTGACTCTTGAACTGTGGAGCCCTGAGACTCTGGATCAAGAATCTGAGATGAGCCTGTTCACGTCCCAAAGCTCAATGTGTGTGAGGGGCTTTAGCAGGTGGGCCCATGGCCCTGGGGGTGTCCTGAGTGTGGGACAGCAGAGAGAATGGCCTTTCTAATCAGCTTTAATTTGTTCCAGACAACAAAGCCTTTAAGAGACACTGTGCATGAGCCTCCACACTTGGCAAGGCCACTGTCCCTGAGGGCCAGCCTCACCCCAGCTAGGCTCACAGGATAGTTCAGCAAGACCACTTCCCCCAAGGTCCCCAAGGTCCAGCCCTCAAGGTCCCTGAGGTCCAGGCCCTACCCTGGCCAGACACACTGTCCCCAAGGTCCCCAAGGACCAGGCCCCACCCAGCCAGGCTCGCAAGATGGCTCAGAGAGGCCACTGTCCCCCCTGGGGTCCCCAAGGTCCAGGCACCCCGGCCGCCGCTATGACCAAGAGCAAGGTAAAGTCGGGCAGAGCAGAGCACATGCCCTTCACTGAGCAGGCGCCTCTGTGACACAGCGACCAGCCCCCGGCAGAGCCATTGGCCGAGAGGCCCAGAGCCACCACACGCCTCACTTCTGAGCCAGACACGTGAGCCCAGACCAACAGGGCCACGCTGACTGTCAGCGGTCCACGCAGCAGGCCAGGACGTCTCGGTCCAGCATGACAGGGCCCAGCAGCCCACTGCGGAAGGCCCGGAGGAAGTGGCCGGCTGCCGCGGCATAGTTGGGCTGCATGATGTTCACGTTCCCTGTGGGGGGGATGGGAGGTGTCTGGTTAGAGGAAGGGGCACAGGGGGACTCCAAGACTGGAGGGAAGAGGACGGGGCATGGGGAGGATCCCAGGACTGGAAGGGAAAAGATGAGAGGAACCCCAGGACAGGAGGGCAGAGGATGGGGGGACCTCAGGACAGGAGGGCAGAG